AATTAATTTGTAATGTACTCGTAATACAAAAAAAGTACACTTTAATATCACTAATCAAGCATGTAAATAGGCATATACTTAAAGTGTACTAAGTGTACTTAAAGTTGTTCCAATTTAGTACAGAAAAGTACACTAAATACACTTAAAGTTATACTTTAGTATAATTTAATTACAACTAAAATACACTTAGTACAAAAATAATTGTTCCAAAATAGCACACTTCAAGTTAACTAATCATTAACACACTTGAAGTATACTGACAATTAGTCTGGCTGCAGGTATACTTAGTATACTTTTTTTTCACTAGGGTAATTACAACTTTTTAAACTTTTTTAAATGTTGTGAATTTAGAAATGGACCTTTGGCTAATTTTAAGCACAAAGTATGTGCTTTCTGCATAATTGTTGCAAGTGTAATTGTTTAGTTGATTATTATTGTTATTATTTTAATCTGTTTAGCTTGGGCTGTAATTTCACACAGTTACCATCCATCTTATTTTACAAAGAGGAGGTAATCTGTTTTCTGTGAATGTGCGAGAGTTCCGATTCAAAATTGTGTACAAAACAATTCCGCACTCTGTTTAGGCCTTGTTACAAACAGTATTACATTAACCTAACTTGAATAGTTATTATGTGACTACCTTAAAACAGAAAATGGTGTCTCGTTTGATAATTGATGCTCTCGTCCAGGTTCTTCATTGCTCAAGTAGCACGCACAACCAAATAACCAGTATACCTCGCAGCCCTCTCTGTTGGTGAAAATAATCACTACATGATTGCTCTGGTAACCAGCAGCCTTTACACTGCTAAAAGAGCTGACCATTTTAAACATGTTTTTTAGTGTTGTTATTGCCCACTCTGGGGTCTGGTCAGGATTGAGTTTGATCTTGTTTCACATCAGGTTGAAGTGTCTTTTCATGGGTTAGAGTCTTTTTTTAATTTTTTTTTTTACAGCCTATTTTATTTTGATTGCCAGATCTGTCTGTGGCAATTTCAATTCTCTGCTTTAGGTTCTGATTACAATCTAGTGTTCTTTGGACGTACTGTCTCTGCTGGTAAAGCACAATAATAAGTGTGTTCCATTCTCTTTCTGCTATTCACATCGCTAAACACTATGCTACTACCATTTCTACAGAGGAGTCTCTCCAGTGATTAATGAAACACCACTGGTCATGTCACAAACATGGCAAAATAAACCTGCACCATACATAAATAAAATGTTTGTTTTTTTTGTATAGAAAACTATTATCTCATGTGAGTGTGCACCATTCAAATAACCCCACACAAAAACACAATTTATTTAATAATGAGTAAAACTTTCTAAATTAGCACCAGAATAATTAATGCAAAGTATTGTTCTACACTCAAGACCTTTTTAAGAAAAAAAAAGAAAAAAAAGAAAAAAAAATTGTTGGAAAAAAACACCTGAATAAAAGTAATAATCATTCCTCAAACAATAATCATTCCTACATTGTAATTGGCCAAGCATTGCTTCTTGCAGTGCTAATTTAGAAGTTAACAGCACTTGATTTCACTGTTTGTGTCACTCTGTTTGCAGTGGCGGCTCGTCGGGGGATGCAGGGGAGGCACAGCTTCCCCATAATTTTGAGGTGAAAATGGGAGGAGGACGATTTAATGTTAATAAAATTCACAATTCATTTCAGTTCATGTCTCAGAATGTGTATTTTTTGTTTGTAATTTCACAGTTGTAATACCATAAGGTGAAAGCTCCGCTTTTCTATCGCGAATGTGCCGAATCTGCTGATGTAATTACAACCACTAGGTGATAGAGAAGGGTAGGGGGAGGCCGGGGGAGAGCTGAGCTCTCGTGCCTCCGTTGGTAAAAAAAAAGTAGCCAATCACCATCGAGTGTTCTCTTTCAGCGCTGAGGAGTGTTGAGAAAAGAACCCTCGCAAGGGAGGCTATAGTCTCCCTTCTGATATCAACCAATCATCAGAGACGTAAATTACGTGAGATATTAGTTTGAACGTCTGCCGCTGCGCTGATAATGTACCAAGTAATTATGATGAGTAGCGATATTGAATAGGCTATTTGATCGCCAACAGATGTACCAAGCTGTCATTTGACTGTGTTCACGTCGTTCCAGGTGAGAGTGAGTGGTGCGGTGTGGGGAGTGACTTTGATTGGAGCAAGGAGTAGGTTTTTTGAGTGTCTGTGTTTTCTTTCTCTCTCTCTCTGTGCAGGTCTCTCAGCTGTGTGGGGAGTAAGAAATGGAAAACTTGGAGTTTACGTGGAAGAAATATTTCAATAAACATCTGTCTAGACAGAATGTTTCCCTTGCCTCCGGCCTGCCTCCAGCATCCCTGCGAGCTGCGACCCAGAGGTAAAGCAGCTTAGAGAATGGATGGATAGTCCTTTTTTTTTGTTTTGTGAAATCTAAATTATATCTGGAATCTACCAATTTATAATTTCTTGTTTATTTAACTCTTCAGTATTATACTCTAAATGTCAAAAAAGGATGTGATTACTGCATTCCTTGTTTGTGTGAGAAGATTTTGTGAGACACATTTGTTCACTGTTATGCAGATGACACTCTGTTTTATATTTCCTCATGACTTGACAAAACTCCTCAATTTTCCAATTTAGCAGAGTGTATTAGAGATAACTGATGTTGGAAGGCTAGTAATTTCTTTCTTTTTAATTCTAAAAAACAGAGGTTTTAATTACTGGACCAAACACTTCCAAACATGAGCTGTTAGAATATAATTTGTTGCTCAATCACGGTTTTGTTACATCGTCTACTACAGGTTAAGGACACTGGGGTTTATGTTTAATATCAATCTGTCTTTTGATGATGAACGAATCATCGAATTAATTACATTCCCAGTGTTTGCAGAACAGCCTTCTTTCACCTTAAAAGTGATTACATTACCCAGCTATGGCCATATGCTGTTTTTAATGCTGAAAAATTATTCATGCGTTTATGACCTCAACACTATTCTAATGCGTTATTGAGTGGATGTCCTGCAGGCTCTATAAGTAAGCTCCAGCTGGTTCAGAATTCAGCAGAGTGCTTGTAAGAACGAAGAAATATGACATTGGCTACCTGTCACTCCCACACTGTCACTAAACCTATGGCTACCTCATTTGTAAATTCAGTGCATACCTCAAAGACACATAACTTTTGCAGTCCAAATATAATTTAGTAACATATCTAGCTAAGTTTGACATTATGCTTGACTGACCCCCCCATTGTAGCCTGGTTTCTCTCATGTTTTTTCCCCCCGTAGTCACCATATTTTTCACCACAGTCACCTCTGCCTTGCTCACTGGGGGACTAAAGAGCTAAAGAATTATGGAATACTGTTTTTTTTTATTAATAATTTTTCAAATAAGTTTTTGATTAATAAAATTGTTTTGATTGATGCAATATGACCTTAGTGATTGTGGCTACACCTCAAAGGAAGACTTCCTCATCAAAAAAGTCAGTAAGCCCTTTGGACATTCAGTTTTTCATTTCTAACTTATAATGTTGCTCACTAAATGTAAACAAACATTATTGTGACAGTACCTGTATTATTTGTTACTACAGTTAACATGGATTAAAATGCAAAGAATACATAAAAACCAGTTAGCTGCGTACCAGTTAGTGGAAGCTAGAGATTTATACGGTTTATAAAGTTTTAAATATGTATATTTTTGATAGCGCATCGATTCGCTTCAGAAGGCTTTATTTTATTGATAAATCAGAGATACCAGATCAGCTGGCCCACTTTACCCGAATAATATGATACATATCAGAATATAGTAATCCAATCTGTAAAGCTGTTTTGAAATAATGTGTATTGTGAAAAATGCTATACAAATAAACCTTACTTATTATTGCTATAATGGAAAAGGCCTAAAATACTACAGCAACTGCATAGCAATGCCAGAGCAAACACCCAGAACACCCATTGTAGTGACAAGATTAGCTAACACTACTCATAATTTATTCAGAAAATGTAAAAATTAAGTCAAGTCAGGTATTTTTTTACAATACAGATTGCTTCAAAGCAGCTTTACGGTATAGTAAACAGGAAAACAGCATCTCACAGAGTTCTTCAATCTGGAATCAATTTCCATTTCAAATTACAATAATAAGTAGTTACAATAACAGCAATTGCAAATCTATTTTAAAGCACAGACACTACAGTAAAATGCAGTATGGTGCTTTGCTTTGCTATATGAAGTAGGGCAGTGGTTCCCAATTCCATTCGACCTTAGACATTAGACATTTTGTATGTCCCTCTTATCTAACACACCTCATTTAGATAATCGACTAGAAGAGAGCTCTTATTTGTGTGCAGAGCAGTGGGGCAATTTTGAGAATTGAGAGCCACTGATGTAATGGAACTCAGCTCTAGGAAATTCCTCACAGTCTACACCAGAATTTTTTGGGGGCCACTGTATTAAATTGGCTGTTAAAGCTGTCCACTTCTCTCAGCCGCTTGCAGTACAAGTAATGTATGATAAGAGTCCTAGAGTAGTAGAGTATTATTACCATTCTTCTTGTAGAACTGCACCTCAGCCTGGTACTCTTCCTTGCTCTCCAGTGCTTTCTCCACACCCTGAGTAACCTGCTCACTCGTGCCTGAGCCATATAGGAAATGACAGCTGCAGTTCTTCTGCATCACCTCTGTTCGTCCGAACCCCGTCAACTCACAGAATCCATCGGAACAGTACACAATGGGATAGCCACGGTTACCCTGAGCATTCCCAAGGAGGAAGTTGCTGTCTGTGGGACAGAAGAGAGATCAGGATTATTAATATTGTAAAAGACATTCTAAAGCTAGTTGTAAGTAATATGTCTTGTGCAGTATTGCTGCTGTACTGATTCATAATTTCCAAATCAATACCCACACTTTGCAGTTTCTGCACTTGACTCCATGTCTCGTGACGTATTTCCGGTATTAGTTTCTTTTTGTATACTTTGATAAAAATATACTTTTTAAATATAATTTATACTTTTTGTATACACAACACCTGTATGCACTACACCAAAGATGAAGCATGTGTTAACTTATAGCTACCCAATCCAAAATAATTTGGGGGTGTTATAGCAGTGTGAATCTATTGGATTTCTTTGTTCCATAGGTCCTTGGGTATGAAGAGTCAAGTGGACAGTCAACAAGGACAAAAACCAGGTCACTGTGTAGCTTCTTATTTCTGACATGATAGTTCAGCTTGTCAGGGGATAACATATGAGACTAGAAAACACAAGTAAAGATTTGTTGAATCACCTTGTCTTTGTGAAAGAAGAGCTTGAACCCTATATCTGATGCATTCACTTCGAAAATGAAAGGTTTAGTAGGGTCTGGGTAGTGGAGGATATTAGGGTAGGGACACAAACTGGCCGTGGTTTTCAATCCTGGTCCTAGGGACCGACATTTTGTGAGTTTTTTCTAAAACACTCAGTTCAGTTCATGGAGCACTCCCCTAACGAACCAGAATTGAAAATCCCTGTCGCTGTTGTATGTGGCTAACTTGTGATCACACTTTGAGTAGAAACATAATTTGTCTTGTTTACATTGTTGCCATTCGGTTGCTTGAAGACTGATTACCATGGATTACTTAGTTATTCAAAAAACTTCACAGAAGTGCTGTAATCCCTACAGTACAGCAAGCTCAGCCTTGTTTCCTCAAACTGTAGTGGCCCAATCTCTCGACTGAAGTGAGTAGGGAAATGGTGAAAGCAAACTTTAAGGTAATGATATCTCAGGCGAGAAGTAGGCAGTTGGGTTGTCATCATGTTGAGAGATTGAGTACCGTAGATGTGTTGCATACAGTACATTTCCTTATTTTCCTTCCAGAAATTTAGCAGCTGTGGTTGTTGTTCTTTCAACAGTGCCAAATGTTACGTCACTGTTAAATGAAGGGCTTGAAGAGCTGGATCAGAGTTGGGTCAAGTATTCTGTAACATTAAAGACTCGTTTAGATTTTGGTGAGCAACCTTAGAAATGAAAACCTGAATGTCAAAGGGCTTACTACCTTTCATGATGAGGGAGTCCTTTGAGGTCTAGTCACAATCACTAGGGTCATATTGCATCAGCCAAAACTATTTTATAGTAAAACCGTGTGACAACTAGCCCTGATCTACATTATATGGGCTTACAAAATTAACTGTAATCAATCATAGTAAATCATGTTTTCTGCATAGATATTCCAACGTTCTTTCAGTAAATCATACCAAAAGCTCAGTTTCATCACTGCTCATCACTGCGACTACTGCACAGGAAAGCTTATCACTGCAACTACTGCACAGGAAAGCTGGTCTCTACGGCAACAAGAGGGCAGCTATTTTGGGTTGTGAGTACACTGGTGCTCTGTTACCCATCAGCACTGCGAGGAAAGATCCTGTCTCTCAGAGAAGTTAACATCACTGACACACCACTGTCTCTAAATTGTTCATCTTAAACTGTTGTAAGAAATAAAGACCTATTAAGACATCATTAACATTTCCTTTCTCATAATGGCAAAAGAAAACAGAATGTAATGAATGGCAGCCAATAGAAAGTAAAAAGTTGTGAAATTTGGCACACTCATAGAAACAGTCTGAACAGTCCTGATAGTCACTTCTCAAACCCTATCTTCTATCTCAAACCCATCAGTGCCACCAACAAGTCAAAGGTTCACTTTTTACCAGCATTTTCATGTCATCACATTAAAAAAAAACAAAAAACAAGGTGATTAAGCACTGAGGTTGAGTGAGCAGTTTCGTAGCAATGGCATTCAGTGATTTATATATATATATATATATATATATATATATATATATACTGTATAAATATATAATGCTCATTAATTATGTTTTATAAATGTGTAGTTTTATTAGTTATGTCTTTGGGTCATGTATATCTTTGTAAGATAGCATACTGTTAAATAAGAAGCTGTGAATGTGCATGCTGTTGTGTGTGTGTGTGTATGTGTGTGTGTGTGAGAGATGTTATCTAACAGAAGAGATTATGTTTGTAAACTGTGTGAAGGATTTTCTTTTCATTACTAGTAAGAAAGCACAGATGGGAGGATTGTATTCTAGTTTTTGTATATATGTTGCATGGCTGCCTTTGTTTTGTGTATTAGTATGAATAATGTTAAGCAAGAATATTGTTATGAAATTTCTTGAGATTCGTGTCATGTTGAATTGTGTGAAACTGTCACATTGTTGAATCGTGTCATTAGACATAGATATTTTCAATGCAATATAGCGCAATTCAGTTCTTGGTTTTATTATTATGAATGAGAATTATAACCTCTTATCCAGCTGTTTAACTATAGTGGCTTGAGAAGGTTCTTTTTATGTCAAGGTAAAAGGATTACATGAACACAAACAGCTTTGTCACTTTTCCCATGACACACACACATACACACAAACACACACACACACTTACCGCAAAGACTTATGCCATGAGAGCACTACAACAAAACAAGAGATTTATCTCCCATGATAAAACAGGAACAAACACACAAGTGTATGTGGTGTCTGTGCACTACATGTATTAACCTGCAGGACAGGATACAGCACACATATACATATTTACATTGTACAGTAATCAGTATAATGTATAATAGTAGTACAGAAATACAGTACAGATGTAGATGTACCCCAGCATTGTTGATTAATTTATGACACAACTATTTGTTAACACAGTTAATTATTTTCACTTTGAAGCTTATGATATGCTTTCATTTAGCTGTTGAATAAACAGTAAAATCACTAATTGATCCAGCCATCCCACAAAATTGTAAAAATGTAACCTATACCTTTTAACAGAAAATGCTGCAATTAAAAACTTTTGGGGGGGGGGGTTTAGCTGTAAGTTATTAAATATGGTGAAAAAATATATTCAGTTTGTTCAGTTCATGCAATCTCTTGGGACAGAATCCATGACTGTGGCATTGCTAGCATCATGCTGTTTGAGCTTGGGAACACAGAGAGTTATTTAATATTGGGAAATATTTATGAATGAATTTTCAATGCTCATATCAGGTAAGTGACTTTTTATGCCAGAAACATACAAGTACATAAATGCAGATTTAAAGCGCACAGTCTCATCAGATGTACTTAATGTCTGCTTTCACGCTACCATGGTATATCAAACCCAGATGTGTTATAATTCAGGTAGCTGCAATAAACATGTCTATAGTATAACTGGCTTATTTAGCAAGACTCTATAACAACAGAAAGTTTGTTTAAGACAGAGTTTTCAAGGAATTTGTTTGAGATAAGCCATTATTTTTGTACATCCATTTAGTGCTGGTGATGCTATAGAAAGGAAAAAACCTTCACCTTCAGGCTACCTTGAAAACTGCACATTTTCATCTTAAGTTCTTTCTCATGTGGATTTGGTGTGTGTGCATTTGTGCCAGTACTTACGAGTGCCATCGAAACGAGTGGCGATGGTGTCCAGGAAGGTGTTCTGGGGTGCCAGCAGCCCCTTCATCACTGGCATGATGCCAGGTTTCCAGAGTCAGCAGATGTTTAGGGGAAAAGCCTGTATGAACCATCAATCCTCACTACATCCCAGGGAAAAGGTGGCCAGGGAAAATGTGAGGAACATGCATCCTAAAAGAGACGTCCCCCAAAAGATGACTCCTCACTGTATATTGCCTCAGCCAGCTTTTGGAGTCCAGTGGATGTATGTCGAAGAAACAAACAAATTTCCTTCCTTGTCAGTGCATACAGTGAAACCAACTTCCACTCTTTTGTCTTTTCTGATAAGTCTGTCTTAGCTATGTACACCTGCATGATAGAGGAGAATCCACAAGATGGTCAGAACGGTGTGGATTTGTTGTTGTTCTGTAACACACTGTGGCAGAGCGACAGAGACAGTTACATTTGTCTTCACCCCTCCTTCCCTGGCTCTTTCTCTCTTTATCCACACCCATTATTCATTTCCTCCAGTTCTTATTAGCCAATGAGAGCACACTCTCTCTCTCACACACACACACACACACACACACACACACACACTCACACTCTCTCTCACACACACACACACAGACACACACACTCTTGAAAGAAATCTATCACACATATGCATGTTCACATATACCCACACTCAGAAAAAAAGGTACAAAAGCTGTCACTGGTCATAAATGCATGAATTATCGTTTTTACATTTGACTTTGAGAGCATACAGTGGTGTGAAAAAGTGTTGGCCCCCTTCCTGATTTCTTATTTTTTTGCATGTTTGTCACACTTTAATGTTTCAGATCATCAAACAAATTTAAATATTAGTAAAAGATAACACAAGTGAACACAACATTTTATAGATTTTTTTTAGATGGAAAAACACAGTTTTGCAAATGTTAGAAATGTGGCTTTCAAATGACAAATTGCTATAAAAAACACACCCAGGTTCTTGACTGATGACAAAGACTTGACAGACATGCATCAAATTTTCAGCAGAGTTCTAGGTTATTATGTGTGGAGGTTTTTGGTCCAATAATTAAAATCTCTATTTTTTCTGAATTTAGTAGTAGGAAGTTACTAGTCATCCAAATTTCTATCTATCTATCTATCTATCTATCAAATATGCATTCCATTCGTTTTGTGAAATGGTATGTTTTGTCGGGCCTCAAAGAAATATAGAGCTGAGTATCATCTGTGTAACCATGAAAACTAACTCTGTATTTTTAATGATATCTCATAAGTGTAGCATGTACGCAGTGAAAAGCAATGGTCCTAGTACTGAGCCTTGTGGTGCACCTCTTCATTTACTGCTACAAAATGATAACAGTCAGAAAAGAATGGTTTGAACAATGCCAATGCAATTCCACTAATTGCAGCATAATTTTCAAGCCTATCCAAGAAAATGTTCAATAATCAATAGTATCAAAGGCAGCACTGAGATCTACTAACACTAATAGAGAGATGCAACCACAATCGAAAAAGCAAGTCATTTGTCACTCTGATGATTGCAGTTTCAGTGCTATGAAGTGGTCTAAAACCTGACTGGAATTCCTTGCAGATGCCATTTCTTTCCAAGAAGAAATATAGTTGTGAAGATACCACTTTTTCTAGTTGTTCTGGGAGGTTTGAAATCGGTCTGTAGTTAGCTAATTCTTTAGAATTGAGTTGTGGTTTTTAATAAAAGGCTTAATAACAGCCAGCTTGAAAGTTTTTGGGTCATATCCTAACAATAATGATGAGTAATATTGAGAACAAGTCCTATGACTTCCAGAAACATCTCTTTTATTTAACGTTTAGCTTGCTAGGTATATGGTCTTATATACATGTTGTTGATTTACATTATTTAATCAGTTATAATGTATTATAGTTCCAATGGGCGTTGAAGACATGGGGGCCGTATCCCCCCTCACTTTTAATAAAATGTAAATTCGTCCCACACACTTTTTTCAGGCAACGTCCTGCTTAAAATGAAATAACTTTTTTTCTGATTTGATTTCTTTTGACACTGTTGTGCTGGGTCAGAATTTAATGAGTAATTGTGTCAAAAATTTCACCAAAATTAATACAAATGCCCAAACAATTCAAGATATTATTTCAAAAATGTATGTGATCTTGTTTTTATATTATAAAATATAATTAAGCAAAATTACGAAAGCAAGAGAGCTGTTTTCACGAATATGAGCACAATTGCAAACGTGATATTGATTTTGTACAAATGTTCAACAAATAAGTTAATATTAAGTGAATTGCATTTTAGACACAATTTTAAACAAGTTTTGCTATTTCAACAACAAGTAGAAGTGTTGTGCATTTCTGAGCAACACACAGTGGCGTTTCATTATAATCTTTCAGATTGATTTGAGGAGTGATGGCTTGGTCTTGGTCTTGACTTGGTCTCATTCTGCATTGGTCTTGGTCTTGTCTTGATTTCAACCCCTAAAAGTCTTGGTCTCAACACTCTCTGGTCTTGGTCTCGGTTTAGGTGGTCTTGACTACAACACTAATTCATTGCGTGTTATACTCCCAGTTATAACCCCAAATAAGTTGTAAATATTGTTACTCGGTGTGCCCTTTTATCTTACACCTTTAACCCTATGATTATTCAGGTAGGGTAAGGATAGTCAAATTTAGCCTAAACCATGAAGTAACTCACCCGCCTGCAGGTTGAAGTACTTCAGGAATGACATAGAAGACTCCCTTCTGGTTGTTCTTGTTTGAGGCTCAGTTTGCAGTTTGTAAGTAAAGTCTCACGGGAGGCAATTGTAACAATAAAATCTCTTATTTTATTGGTTACAATACAAAGCAGTTAATGCAAAAATGAAACAAAATCAGCTAAGCTATGAGTTCTAAACTCAAACTCTAAACAGCAATATTGGAGATGCTGGTGCCCCTCGATAGGGTATCAGGTGTCCTTCAAGCTTAATGCAGGCAGCATAAAGAGCGGTTTACTCCTCAGACCTTTTATACTACTTTTTGGGGAATTCCAAATACATATCAATGTCTGTGACTCATGTCTACTGTAATAAGATGGCTGTCCTTCCCCTGCCGCTTACATTGCTGTCTGCGTCTAGCACTCTTCCTTTTCTTCATTGTAGTCTTCGCCTGGCTCACCTCCGCTTGATGTTGCAACATGCTCTCTTCACCCGTGTACCCTCTTCTTAACATGTGTGTTGATTACATAGCATCAAACTCATGAGCCTAACTTTCACAACTGTTGCTTATTCATCCTAACTAAGCAAATATTGCATGTTAGGGTGGCCCTTATTCTTGGACTTTTGAAATCTTCTGCTCTAACCCGCCCAGTCAACTACTCTTCACAAGAAATGGAAACAAGCCAAATTTAGCTGAGATTGGACTATGTTTGGGGTGTGCTCAACAACATTCCATCTTAATGACCACAACAGTACGTAATTAATAATTATACAAGACCATTAGTAAATGGTGAATTAGGTTAAAAACTAGAACACAGAACAGTGTTGTTAGTTTAAAAATGTTAAATTACAATGCTGCAGAGTTGTAGAAATGTAGGTGGGGAGAGTGAATGAACATTGCTCTCTTCCACCTGGTTATGCAAAATGGCCATCAGAAACAGTCAAATGTTTATCAGTGAACGAAACCTATCAGCAATCAGATCTTGAAGTACCTGTTGATAAAAAGATACATTCTTTGAACATACACTAAATGACAAATTATCTGGATAGTATTTTGCATACATTGCGTACTTCTAGTGGAGAAACAAACGAGGGGGTGAGAGGTTAACATTTCCAATAAAAAAAACATTTACCCCCCAATAAGTGCCACCCTATTGTAAGTGCAAGCATTTTTATATCAAAGCATATACAGGTGCATCTCAATAAATTAGAATGTCGTGGAAAAGTTCATTTATTTCAGTAATTCAACTCAAATTGTGAAACTCGTGTATTAAATAAATTCAATGCACACAGACTGAAGTAGTTTAAGTCTTTGGTTCAACCTGTATGGCATTAACCTAAAAACAAGCAAATAATATAACATTGAAACAGGTAAATAGCAGTATCAATATCCATCTCCAAAACAATATAATGCATTATAACTGTTGCATCTTAAAAGTTCTAACCCCAAATAGGTGATATTATAACGCATTATAAATACAGTCTTGATTAAAAACACCATAATAAGCATACCTTTTTTTCTCTTTCTATCCACCTTATTTTTCAATGCAGAACTAAGCTGTTTTCTGTGAATGTGCGAGACTTCCGCTTCATTAGCTGCGGTAGGGAAATAACGAGAAGCATAACAAAGTAAAATTGTTTGTGCTACAACTCAGTGTGTTTATAATTAAGACAACACATTAAAGTAATATGGCAAGAAACACTAGTTTGCAATATCAAGCAACAAAATGAGCTGTTTTGTACAGCTAAAAATAGCTGGAAGCGGATTACACCAGAAACCTGACACATTAAATGTACAAATGGCCGCGCCCACTCTTACAGGAAAAAATAAGGTGGATACAATTCACTGAATTATGATGTACAACATTTGGTATTTTTGAAAAGCCCAAGATGTCTCTTAATGACTTTTCACTTGTATTTTGAATCCCCTAATGACTTCAATATAGCACATATATTTATATTTATGCATTAGGCAGGTGCTTTTATCCAAAGGGAATCGAATGCATGAGGCAAGGTATGTTAGTGTCATGCTCTATGGATGATTCAGCAACAGGTGAGTGATGTATATTCCCTATCAACCCCAAAAGCTAAAGTAATGGAAAATGTGTGGGTATAGTTATCCATCACTCTTCATGGAAAGATGTTTGAGTTCCACAATTGATTTAAGTTGCTCAGATGTAATTACGATTATGTGGGCATTCTTTTGCCTTCAATGGCCATTTTAAAATAAGAGAGGCCAGACCAGAAAACTGCTCACAGTACAGTGGTGCTAAGAGATGATCAACAAATGTGCTTTATTTATTCATCTCCTCTAGAACAGCAAAGTAACTATGATCAGCCTCCAGAAACACCTCAAGAATCATTAGCATGCCAAAGCTGACAAATATCAAGTCAAGTCAAGTCAAGTTTATTTGTACAACGCTTTTCACGATACAAATCATTGCAAAGCAACTTTACAGCAAATTAAGTTTCTACAATATTTAGTGGTAGCTTATCAGTGGTGACTGTCAATTAATGTACATATGGCAGAAATGTACGGAAAAATCAATTTAAGACGTAATAAAAAAGACGATGAACACTATTAACAGCAATTATTATATCATGCAATCAAACTTATATTTCTGATGTTATCTATTTTATCAGTGAAGAAATTCATAAAGAGGGAATATTTAGATCGGTGGCGTCTGGTTAAATCTAGCCACTGTGCTAAATAAAAACC